AAGAGAAGAGAAGAGAAGAGAAGAGAAGAGAAGAGAAGAGAAGAGAAAGAAGAGGAGGGGAGGGGAGGGGAGGGGAAGCTGGGCCTTTTCTATCCTCGGTAGGACCAGCTCTAGCACAGTGGTGAGGGTTCAGGAAGCTAGAACCACAGGAGTCAAGAAGTAAATGGAAGTTAAGGACATGAAATATTACATACAAGCGATTCTTTCAAGGTTTCCAGAACAGAAGAAAAAGATAGTGTGAGAACCCAGTGGGAAGTAGCGTGGAGGAAACGTTAGATGCCCTGTGTTCTCTTCTAGGATTGGACTTGCACACACAAATAAGCTATGTTGAAGTCCTTACCTTATCTAGACCTTCCCTCGCCATCTATCTACATTCTCTGGATCCTTCAAGACCCAGTTCTACTCCCGTCTCTTCCAAGCAGCCTTTTCTGACCACCTCAGTTGGAAAAGACCCCTCCATTCTCTGATCCCGTAGTGTTTATACTGTGTCTTTCTTTCCTGCTGTCTCTCTTTTTCTTCTCCTTCTAAATAAACCAGGTATCAGGTAGGAGAGGAGTGAGGTGAGCTCTGTCTTTGCTTTGCATTGTAACATCTCATTGTGAGTTGAAAACCCTATTGGCATTTTTTTTCACGTCCATGATATAAGCATATTGCCGATGTTCAAGGGGAACCCCATTAGAGTTTTGGGGAATTCATAAATTCATATTCTTTCCAAATAGGTAAACACTTTGCACAGGTCTCAACAAATGATCTGACTTTTTTCCTTAAGAATTCCTAGTCCAGCCTGTTGATGGACTACTGCCCCCTGCCCCAGCCCCCAAAATGTGTAACCTGCCCTTGTGTTTACATAAAAGTAGAACGTTTCCTGGTGCAGATTTTAATGATCACTATATGAGCTTCATATAGTAATGGGCATTTTAAAAACAGTAAGCCTAAATGCACTTAGGACCTGAGATTTTTCTAAGGTTCTCCCTTATTGAAAGTCTAAACCAATTTAACAACACTTTAATGGCTACCTCATGATATCTGTTGATGTTTATCCAAGTTTTAAGTTTCTGTCTCAGATGATGAAATAAGTCAGTTCCTATCACTTACCTGATTGTAATCATTTTTCTTTCTTTACCAGGTGAGTCACATTTTTTCATTTTTATGATATTAGCAGGATATTGGAACCGTTCAGAGTTGATAAAAAAAAGGGGCTGAGAAAAATTGGAAAGTACTTCTTCAGCCAGTGGAAGCATCCAAGCGTCCAGGGCAATACCACACCTGTAGGCGTTGATAATGATAATAGAAGGCTGGTTATACACTGGCCGACACGCAGGACTTTCTAATGATGCTGGGGTTAACGGACAGACCCACAGTGGTTTCTTATGGGTTATCTCACTGGCATTATACTTCATGTGGGAAGGGGATATGATTAACTTTATAGGGTAGCAGGCTTAGAATGATATAATCATTTCCCTTAGGAGGCATTTAGGAATTGTGACCTTTAGAACAACCTACTATCTTTAAAATTTTTATTCATTTTTTTGGTTATATTATTTTCAAAATACATTTTTTTAAAAAAATGTAGTAATTTCTTCAAAATTGTGGGGTGTCTGAGAAAATTCAATACATGCACTATTGCTCCTGTGTTTCCAGGCCTTCTGGACACTCCATAGTCTATTTATTATACCTTTTTTTAAAAGTAACAATTGGACCCATTGCTTTATATGTAGAGGTGGGTGCTTCGCCTGGAAAAGTACCTGGGCATTGAACAAAAACATATGGGGCATATTAATTGAAAATGTAATTAAGTTTCTTTTTAAAAGATGTCTCTTGACCTTTCGGACACTCTTGTTTTATGTGTTAAATGAATGAAAGAAGAGAATTCCCTTATACTAAAACGGATTTTGAGAAATGTGAGATGAAGTTTCACAGGTTATCCTGCCCCTTTCTGTACGGGTGGCTCTGCATGATTTCAGCAGTCTGGGATGAAGTGGTTCAAGAAAGAAAATGCTTCTACAAGTTAGAAGAGTCGAGTCTGGTCCCGACTTCCACCCAAATAGCTATGTAATTTCAGGCCTCTCTCCAAATTAAAGATGAAAAAAATTAATTAAAAATACCCTGCCTGTTGGGGAAGTGTAGACTATAAGGCGGCAATATTATTATCACAATCATTATGTCACAGATAAAGTGTGTACATAAGTGTAAATTTCCAAGTGAAAATGTTAAGTTCTCAAACAGATAAATAAGAACGAGGGAAAATCTATAGCGGGGAGGGCGAGTTTTTAAAATCAGTAAAAGTAGGTGCTTTCTGCCTGGGAAAATTCACACTGAGTACTTCACGGAGGCAGAACAGACTTGTCAGCGGCACAGGGTCCCTTCCTGCCTAAGAATTTAATAAACTTCTATCTCACACGAGTTATCACTGCCCCTCTTCCAATAAATTACTGTTCTCTGTCTTTACCTCATTCTCTTACCTGAATCTCTGGTCATCGTTAAGAGCCTGAATAACCGTGGCTCCACCGAAAGAATGTCCAATTATTGCTATTTTATTCCTATCAATGGAGTCCTATGTGAAAAAGCAGGATATGAATTCATAACGATCTCATAGGTTGTCAGAAGAAGAGAATGAATGATTTTGTGAATCATGCAATCATTATTCAATTTATGGGCATGGTTACGTACCTTGATTTCTTGTAAAAGAAATACACACATATACAACTATACACATACATCACACACACACATAAATATATACAATACAAGCACACACATATGTGTATACACACACACACACATACACAGAGGGTGCCAAAAAAATGTATACACATTTTAAGAAGGGAAAAAAACTGTATTAAAACTGTAATACAATGAATGATGCTAGCATTCATTTGATTAATGCCATCTTTCAAGCGAATGTCATACTACGTGTTGCTAATATAATTCAATTCAACTTCAAAAAGTAATACATAGATAACATCTCTTAAAATGTGTACATTTTGGGGGCACCCCCAGTATATGTCAAGCATTTGTAAAAGTTCAGAAGTGAACTTGATGGTCTTCCTAGTCATCCACACTTAACACAGCAGCTTCCATGTTGACTTCGCCCTCTCCCCACTCCATATTTATTGGTTTATTCATTCCATGAGTCATTTATTGAGCACTTGCTCTGTGCCAGGCATTGTAGTTCATTGTCAGTGAGCTCACACTCTATTAGGGAAGAAAGAGACACAGATGCATGGTGCAAATACAAATAGAGAGGTACCAAGGAGTAGACATAATAGATAGCTAACACAGACCAGGGCTGGGCAGTGGGGTCAGGAAAGGAAAGCTTCTCTTGGAGGAGGGGATGCCTGACTTGAGTTGAAAATTAAGCAGGACTTAGTGGGGAGAGTGTGTCAGGCCAAGGGGACAGCACGTACAAAGGCATGGAAACAGGAGAGGGAGTGGCTGGTTCCCCAACCGGCTGGTTCCCCTGGGTCTGGGGAACAGACCAGCATCTTATGCTCATCTTATCCTCCACACCCATTTTTGAGTCTTTGTTTATGTCATCCACTGGTCTGATAGACTTTCACCCCTCCCAACATTTTGTCTAAAACTTCTGACAAACTTTCTGGGCTCAAGCTCAAAAACATGCAGAAGCCATCCAAGAAATTACAGTACTTCCACTGGACGTATTAGGCGGAACCATATGAAATTGCCATTTTTGTAGCCTGTGGGCAAGTTTATATTACATAGAGTTCAACCTAATACATTCCTCATTGCTGTAATACTTTACCTGTAATTTTTTTTTCAGCCATTTATCATGCTGTACCTTGTATTACAGCAGAAAAGCAGACAATACAGAACAATAAAGACCTACAGGACAAGGGAAAAAGGCTTTTGTTTAGCTCACCTTCAGTTGTTTTATATCAAACTCTAAATCCAATACATTCTTCGTTTCACAGTCAACGCAAAGGATCAAATTGAGAGCCTGAGAACACTCCTTTGCTCGTTGGTGTACCTAATATGATTATTGGAAGAAGGAAATGACAAAGTAAAAAGCTGCAACACAAAGTTTGCATAGAGCTTGCAGGTGGGAGAAATGATCGGTTGCTTTTAAACCGGAAAAGTCTAAGCAGTTAGTTACTAGAAAACAACCTAGCCTCACAACACAGGCCCCAGCTTTGCAGGTAACTAAAGCTTGGTCCCAATCCCAGCTTGGTAGCTTCCCGGCTATGGTGACCTTGGACACTTTACTTAACTTCTCTGGGCTTCCATTTATTGTACAACAATGCATCCCTCCGTGAGACGTGGGTGGGATTAAATGCAATAACACATGGAAAGCACCCGCTTGAAAGGTTGGCACAGGGTTGAAGCCCGTGGGCTTTATTTCACTTAATCTTCCCAAGAGCCCTGTGAGAAGGATATTGTTATAATTCATTCTTTTGTAACAGAGAAAACATGGAAGCAAAACAAAGAGAGTAAGCAAATTGTCCAGGGTCGCCCACTGCCAAGTGATGGCTCCAGGATTCAAACATAGAAAGAAAGTTGGATCCTCAGGCCTGGACTCTTAATACTATTGTATCCCTCCTCTCTGAAAAGCTGTCTTTTTTTTATATATTGCCTGTGGCAGTGGGGAGGGGATCTATGAATTTCTTTTGATATTTTAATATTCTAATGCAAAAATATTCTGTATATTCACAGTCATCTCCCAGAATTTGTGTTTTTGTTTTTTTAACTACTACCCAGACATTTCATTAAGGCACTTTTATTATTCAGAGAACCTTCTGACAGGTCTTTGGGGAACAGGAAGTAGGAGAGCAAGGAGCACAGCTTGCCCTGCATGAAGTTACATTAGCAAATGTCATCATTTTGCATATGCGTTTTAGTCACCATGTCCCCTCTACTCTTAGTGCATTGTACCTGCTCATTTCGTAGAGGCACCTCCTCCTCCTCTTTTTTTAGGGTTTTAAGATAGAGCCAAGTCTTTTTCCCTATTTCTGCAGCAGACTGGTCTTTGAAATAGTAAGTTGCAGACGCAGATTCATCTCTACAATACAAACAGAGTCAATCACTTACGCTTTTTCATCTCACCCATGATCTTCATCCCCATTCCTCACTCTGATCTTTCTGATTTCCCTTTCTTCTTCCACACTACTTTTTTTTTTTTTTAATCATAAAAGCCCCAAGTGGCTCCTAAGAAAAAAACCATTGTAAGTCCACAAAACCCATTATTGTCACAATTCTGGGAGGCCATGTTGAAAACTCACTTCTGGAATCAAATCCTAGCGCTGTCACTCACTAGCTGGGCGGCGTTGGGCAAATTACCCTTTCTCAGTGTCACTTTCCTCCTCCTTAAAACAGGGGTAATGGTAACCCCTTCCTAGGGTTGTTATGAAGATTAAATGATGGTGTGCAAATACGATACACAATAAACATTCTAAGAATGCTAGCTTTTTTTTAATCCTTGACGGTCTAACTCAGTCTCCTTTTTTTCTCATCATGTAATCATAGTTGACAATCCAATCAACCGTTTTTATCAGCCTTTAGGAAAAGTTAGAGCCCGGCTACATACCAGGTGACGTACCTGTGTTCTACAGTAGCAACTATGAATCCATGAGATGCCAGGTCAATACCAATAGCAGAATAAATGGTCCTTCAAAACAGAAAAAGGGAGGCATTCAACTACCAGTCATGGCTACAAGGAGGGGTTCACTAATGAACTTGGGCCCTGGGTTAAAGCAGGGAGCTGTGGTTCTCAAAAGGGGGGCACAGTTTTGCCCCTCAGGGGGATATCTGACAATGCCTGGAGGCCTTTTCATTATCATGAGTTGGGAGAGGGTGCTACTGACATCCAGTGGGTACAGGGATGCTGCTAAACATCGTGCAATACACAGAACTACACAACACGAACTTATGCAGTCCAAAAAATCAGTACTATTATACCAAGGCCCAGAAACCCTGGTGCAGTGATTATATAAATACAATGGTGCCAAAAAAATGTATACACATTGTAAAAAAGGAAAAAACACTATATTAAAATTGTAATAATATATACCGATAACAAAGGATGAATACAAGTCACAATTGACTTCTGTAGTTACAAGAGGTGTTCAAAATGGTTACCATCAGTGTAATTTTAATACAGTTTTTCCTTTCTTGAAATGTGTATACATTTTTTTGGTACCCTCTGTATATATTGCCTTTGAGAGTTCTGGGTTTTAATCATGACTCTGCCACTTATCAACTACATGACTTTAGGTAATTACTGAATTTTTGTCCTCATCTGTAAAATAAGGCTAATAAAGCCTTTGCTTTAGGACAGTTGTAAGGTTCTGATAAGATCATGTATGTAGGAAGACAGTATAGTGTGGTGCTTAAGAGAACAGGAACAGGACCTGCTGTCTGATCACTGTGTTCGAATCCTGGTTCCCACTTATTAGGTGTCTACCTTGGATAAGTGACCTATCTTACCTCTGCCTTGGTTTTTTATCTGCAGATGGGTGATGCTATAACAGTATGGTACCTAGTGTGATTATTGTAAGGATTAAGTAAGTTAATACCTTTCCAGTACTTATAATCATGTCTAAAACGGGTCATCACTGAACACATGTTAGCTGTTGTTTAAATGATTGGACAGGCAGAGATGGTTAAAAAATCATGTGCTAAGCGATTGCATTTATAACCCCCTTCCGGGTCTTCATTTCACACAATCTTCTCATGTCATGCATTCCGTAGAAAATGCCCAAAGAGAGTAAAAAGGAAGTAGCTGGAATTATGTCTTCTACTCCTAAAGATGCAGGACCTACTCAGTAAGGGAAAACCATATAGTACAGGGATCAGCAAACCTTTTCTGTAAAAGGCCAGAGAGGAAATGTGTCCAATTCTGCAGGCCATACATTATTTGTCACAACCACTCAACTCTGCTGTTGTAGCACAAAAGTAACCATAGACAGTGTGAAAAGCAAATGAATATGGCTGTGTGCCAGTATAACTTTATTTACAGAAATAGGCAGCAGGCCAGAGGTGGTCCTGGGATTCTAATTGGCCAACCACTGCTCTAGTAGAAATCAAATAACTAGCTAGACTACAATTAAAGACCTGAAGGTAATTTCTTATCACAGGTGTTACCCAACTTCTTTCTAGTGAAAACCCACCTTTTCTTTTGTGAAAGTCTTATCGCCCTGAGGAGGAAGATGGGGAGGAGGCAGTTGTGAAGACGGAAGAAGTGGAGGTGTGGTGGTCATGAAAATGTGCCACTCAGAACCCATGCGGTAGAGACTGTAGTTGAACAAAGCCCCCACCCAGCTCCTGCCCGCTGATCCACGACCACGTGTAAGCAAGCTTCCTGCTGGTTACCTCCAGGGACTGGGCACAGTGTGGGTTCAACATAGGCTCATTCCTGTGAGACGCAGGACGCCTCTGATGAGCAACTTTGGGTCAAGCGCTCCCTCCGTTGGCCTGGCCCAATCTTTCTTAGAACTGTGCTGCAGTCTGATATTCTTCATACCCAACCCTTCTCTGTTTCTCATTTTGAGAGTGTAAATTTTATAATATAGAAGGACAACAGCCAGAAATGCAACACCCTCTCTTCTCTGTTGTGAGACTAGTCTCCAGGAACTGGAAGAAGGAAAAGACGGGGCTAGAACTGATGGGTAGATCACACCCAACTCTTGAGGAAACCCCAACTCCTCCAGGACAGGGGCCCCCATGACGCTCCAAAATCTGCCATTCGTTTTTTTGGGATAAAATGCATTCAGTCATTAAATCCCTAGAGGCTAAAACTGTTCAGCCTCTCAAACTTTACCTGAATGCTCCAAGACCATGAGAAAAAACAATTAGTGGATATTTTTCACCAGTCCTCAGAGGGGAGTTCCAGCTTGCAGGGGTTGTCATTGATCCTAGACAAAAAGAGAAGATTATAATTAGTGTTTTCTCTGATTTGAATGTTGGTGGTTAATTTAACTTACATCACATTAGTATAAAATCCTGACCCATGGAATTTATATTTTTATGCATTAATAGTAAATTCATTAAAAAGTCTCCTACTAGATACCCACTGACCAAGGACCTAAACCATGTGTTTTATTCCTAAGACCACAGGATCGTTCATTCATGATCCATTCTCCTAGCCAGCTCTGAACTTAAGGCAAGACATTTTTATACTTATAGGTGTATTGGGGAAGGCTATTTCTTTTTACCAATCCCAGATTTTGGCAACATTTCAAAGGGAATGTTCTGAAATCAAACGACTAGTAAAGCTCAGGAACACTGCGACCCAGAGTCTTCAAATTGGAGACTCCTCTCATTCTAACTAGGTCATGATCAAGAGAAAGGTAGAGAGACCATTGACTTCACACTCAGACGTGGCTTTGGATACAGTTCTGCCACTTACTAGCTACTGACCTTGGGCACATTAAGAAAACTCTCTATGCTTTAGATTATTTTTCTGTAAAGTGAAGGAAATGATATCTATTTCATAGGGCTTTTGTGAGAATTATATTTAAGTAGTGAACATGTAAGGTCCCTATCTAGTGACATAGTACAAGGCACAAAAAATGGAAGATAACTGTCTTCTCTTCCTTCTCTTCTCAATTCTTATGGTCATTATTATCATCAATTACTTGTGTTTCATTTTCTCATCTCTAAAATGGAGGCATGACCATGAAGACTGAATGTGATGATTGGTACGGAAATGATTTATAAGTTATTTGAGCACCATAAACATGTGTAGTTATAACATTTTCATCATTTCTATTAGGAAGTGGTTTTTAAGAAAACTCCAAGGGGATGTTTAAAATAAATGCCAAAAGCTGTAGGGAGTTTTGAGGGGGTGTAAATCTAAAGACATATAGTGAATACCCAACAGCAGTGTCTGTTAAACTGTTAAGGAGGGAAAAGTCTACATTAGTGAAATGTAGACAAATTAAGTGATGAAAGCACATCAGGTTGTCTAAGGGAGAGAGGCTAGTCCCTCAGGGGTGGGTGATGGGCATGAGAGTAGATTCTCCTCATTTATTCTAAGTAAGAAATAAGCAACAGCCCAGCTGCTGCCCTCACCACATTATTGCTCCCTCACAGTGTGTAAGAAGAAAAACTAAAGACCAGCCATTGAGAGATGTTAGAGCCAGTCTGAAAGTCTGGTACTTTCATTCCCTCCACCCATCCCATTATATTCAGAAAGGACAAAATGAGAACGCTTGATTCACTGATAGTTCCCCTGGCCTTTGGCATTTTAAGAAATATGTACTTTCTTTGTCATGTTAGGAGAAGTTCAGACGAGAAAATCTACTTTGGTCTTTAACTGTCTGAAACTTGTGCTAATTTCAAGGCTTTCTTATATTTCAGAGCCTACAAAGCAGGATCGGCAGAAATCTTACCAAATAATAAGTTCAAAATTTTGCCCATCACCCAGTGTGTTCCGAGAAATTTACTAAGACCAAAAAAGTACTCTTTGTTTGGGATCCAAATGGTGTCAGAGCGCTCATCATCTTGGGATGGATAATACAAACGCAAGAAGGTACTCTGTAGAGGAAAGAAATCAATGCCAGTTTAGTGAAGTGGCTTCTTCAACAGATTCCAACAGCTATTTTGCATATTTAATTAGTGGGGACCCAAATACCTCTGTTGTTCATGAAGAGGTCCAGAGGCTTTTAAAGCTGCTGTCATGATTGAAAACAGTTGAAAAAGAAAAGAAATAGTACAACAATATTTCTTCTGAGTGAAAAGAAAGTTTGAGCAGTCTGGCTTCACCCATTAAGGAAGGGAAAAATAGGAGTGTATAGTCAAGTTACCGTATTTCCCCACGTATAAGACGCTCCCATGTATAAGATGCACCTTAATTTTGGGGCCCGAAATTTGAAAAAAATGTATTACATAAAGTTACTGAACTCAAGTTTTATTCATCATAAAATTTATACAACTCCTCATCACTTGCGGGAAACGCAAGTAAAAAAATCTACAACCACTGTATAAGATGCACCCAGTTTTTAGGCCCCAAATGTTTCAAAAAAGGGTGTGTCTTATACGTGGGGAAATACGGTAATCAGATGACAGCAATGGGTTGGGGAATGACTTAAGAGCAAAAGCCTTCCTATGAAACAATTCAAATGGCAAAATGAGCCATTCTCAAGGGAGGGCAAGGTCCAGTTTCAAAACTTCTGGTGAGCCATAGCAACAGTTAATATTACAATATAAGGCTAAGTGGCATTAATCAAAGCATTACCTTATTAGTGTATTTAAACATCAAGTCTGTACAACCGACGGAATAAGACCCACTTCCTGGGGGGATTTTAGTTTGGCCATCCATTGCAGCAGCTATCAGAGCTTGTATTTTACTGATCCGTGCTGAAAAACAGGAACATATTATCTCATTTGTCATCCATTACTCCCCAGGCTTTCTTATGCAAAGAAATTCCAAGGGAATCAAGTTTCTGCCCATAGTCTCTGGCCTCCTTCATCTCTTTCCTAACTAGTAAAAGACACAAGTACTTACTGCGGGCCTGCTCTATGCAAAGTACTGTGTCGGGGGAAGGATGGAGGTAGCCATAGCCCTTTACTGAGACACTTAGGACTGTCACCTCCTAACACTGACAGCCTTGGCCTTACCTTCTGCTCCAATCCAGAGCAGATTAAAGACCACCTCCCAAAACTGTGTTTCCTAAACGTGGACTTTAGCTCACATTTCTGATTTGTCCCTACCACTTCCCATTGGGTATCTATCTCCACCTGATGTCCTTCCCACAGGAACATGAAAGACAGTGGTCAAAAATGAAACTAAATAACCATCTCCCAGCTCCCCCCACCCCCCACCTCGTTCTCCAGCCACAGAGCCTGCAACCCCAGAACTTCCTATCTCGTGTGTCTCAGGCCAGAAACCTTAGGGATCATCTTACTCTCCTACCTGTCTCACCAACTCCTTCAATTCAACCAAGTCTCAATTTATAATATTTGTTTTCAGTTTAGGATTATCTTCCCAATATACCCCTGGCCCGCGGGCTCACTGTCTCATTTTATACCTTCACTGTCTCTTGACTAGACAGTTGCCATCTCTCCTAACTGTTCTGTTCAACTGGGAGCTTGGCCTTTTCAAATGCATCCTTCGCCCAGCTCCTGGAGTTATTTAAAACACAAGTATCACCAGGCAATTCTTCTTTCAATCCTTCCATGGCTCCTATCATCAGGTGGTTTTTTTGTAAAGGAAGGACTGTATTGGAATCTTTTAGGGAGGCAGTTTATAGGTGGTGTTTGGATCTACACATGCCTTCCGAAGCTACTTCCACTGCTACTTGAGGCACAATGGTGGCCTACCCTTTCAGTGTTCCAGGGTTGAAATGTGTTCATGGACACACAAGCTAAATTCCAAATGCCTCGGCACTGTAAGAAAGACCCTCGTGGTCTGGAGGTCTACTGTCTCATTCTTTTCAGCTTTTTCCCTTCCATGTGCTCCAGCGTTCCTGAGTGATCCACTGGGCTGTTCGATGCCTCTGCACCGTTGTAAATGTTATGCCTTGTGTTTTAAATCCCTGTGGCAAATTCCTATTCAACCTTTAACATCCTGATTATGGCAAGTCTTCCCTGATCCCTCCCAGATGTAATCATTTTATCCTTAGCATTAAAATCAATCCCTGTATATATTTTTATCATCCTTCCTATCATATTATATTAAAATTATGTGTTTGCATACTCTGTCTCCCACAGTAGGCTGTTTCTTAAGAGCTGTGTCTATCTTTGTATCCTCAGATCTTAATACAATGTCTGGCAAATAGTCAGAGTGCAATAAATATTTTTCAAAATAAACTGAACTAAGTTTTCACTACCATTGGTCTCTCATTTCCATCAAATGAATGCTTTATAGTATACACTTTTTTAAAAGATTTTATTAAAACTATAACTAACATACAATATTATATTAGTTGTATGTGTACACCATAGTTATTCAACATTTGTAAACCTAAAGAAGTGATCACCATGATAAGTCCAGCAACCATCTGACACCGTACCACGCTATCCCAATATTATTGACTATATTCTCCATGCTGTACATCACATCCCCATGACTTGTTTCATACCTGGAAATTTGGACCTCTTATCACCCTTCCCTTTTCCCCACCTATTTAATATTATGATTGTCAATTGCAGTTGACATTCAATATTATTTTATACTAATTTCAGGTGTACAGCATAGTGATTAGACATTTATATAATTTAAGAAGTGATCCCCCTGACCAGCCTAGTACCCACCTTGCACTATACATAGTTATTACCGTATTATTCACTAAATTCCCTATGCTTTACTTTACATCCCCATGACTATTTTGTAACTACCAATTTGTACTTCTTAATCCCTTCACCTCTTACACCCAGTCCCCCAACCCTCCCCATCTATCACCTCAACAAATCTAGTACCATCTGACACCATACATAGTTATTACAATATTATTGACTATATTCCTTATGCTATACCCTACATCTCCATGACTACTTTGTAACAACAAATTTGTACTTCTTAATCCCTTCCTTTCCTTTTTTCACCCACCCCCAAACTCCCTCCCATCTGGCAACCAGGAAAAATGTTTTCTGTATCTATGAGTTTGTTTCTGTTTTGTTTGTCAATTTTGTTCTTTATATTCCACATACAAGCAAAATCACATTGCATCTGTCTTTCTCTGTCTGATACTCCACTCAGCACAATACCCACCAGGTCCATCCATGCCGCTGCAGATGGCAAGAACCCATTCCCTATCATGGCCGAGCAACATTCCATTATACATACATACCACCTCCTCTTTACCCATTTATCTATCAGTGGACACCCAGGCTGCCTCTACATCTTGGCCATTGTAAACAACGCTGCAATGAACATATGGATGCACAGGTCCCCTCAAAATTGTGTTTTGGGTTTCTTCGGGTAAATACCCAGAAGTGGGATTACTAGATCCTTCTTTGTCTCTTCTTATAGCCCTTGTTTTAAAGTCTGTTTTGTCTGGTATTAGTATTGTTAATCCAGCTTTTTGTTGTTATTTCCATTTTCATGAAATAACTTTTTCCATCCCTTTAATTTCAGTCTTTAAGTCTGAAGTGAGTCTCTTGTAGGCATATATAAGAGTTTTGTTTTCTTATCCATTGAGCCTTCCTATATCTTTTGATTGGAGCACTTAATCCATTTACCCTGAAAGTAATTGTTGAGAGATATGTAGCTATTGCCATTTTATTATTCATAGTGTGTGTGTGTGTGTGTGTGTGTGTGTGTGTGTGTGTATGCTTTTTGGTTTTTTTTTCCCCGTCTTAAAAGAAGTCTCTCTAACATTCCTTGTAACACTGGTTTGGAGGCGATGAACTCCTTTAGCTTCTTCTTGTCTGGGAAGCTCTTTATCTCTCCTTCGACTTTAAATGATAGCCTTGCTAAGTAGAGCACCCTTTGTTGTAGGTCTTTGTTTTGTATCGTGTTTAATATTTTATGCCAATCCCTTCTGGCCTGCAAAGTTTCTGTTCAGAAATCAGCTGCCAGTCTCATGTGAGCACCCTTATAAATTACTAGTTGGCTTTCTCTTGCTGCTTTTAGGATTTTTCTCTTTGTCTTTAACCTTTGCCGTTTTAATTATAATGTGTCTTGGTGTGGGCCTGTTTGGGTTCATCTTGTTTGGGAGTCTGCACTTCTTGGACTTGTCTGTTTCCTTCACCAGGTTAGGAAAGTTTTCAGTCATTATTTTAAATAGGTTCTCAATGCCTTGCTTTCTCTCTTCTCCTTCTGGTGCCCCTATGATGAGAATGTTGTTATGCTTGATGTTGTTCCAGAGGTTTCTTTAACTGTCCTCATTTTATTTGGACTTTTTTTACTTTTTGTTGTTCTGATTGGGTATTTTCTGATACCTTGTCTTCCAAATTGCTGATTTGATCCTCTGCTGTATCTAGTCTGCTGGTGATTCCTTCTAGTGCATTCTTCATTTCAGTTATTGTATTCTTCACTTCTGACTGGTTTTTCTTTGTGGTTTCTATGTCCTTTTTTATACTTGCTATCTCTTTGTTGAAGTTCTCACTAAGTTTCTTGAGCATCCTTATAAACTTTGTTTTGAACTCTGTCTCTGGCAAGTTGCTTGCCTCCATTTTGTTTAGTTCTTTTTCTGGAGTTTGCTCCTATTCTTTCATTTGGGATGTATTTCTTTGTTTCCTCATTTTGGCTGCCTCTCTATGTTTGTTGCTATGTATTAGGTAGGGCTGCCATGTTTCCCAGTCTTGGTTGGGTGGCCTTGGTTGGGAAGCAGGCACAGTGTTTATCTACTCTGCCATCTCCCATTGATGGTATATATGGTATACATTCTCCCATGGTATACTTTCTTTTACCCACCCACTCTTAAAACTTTCTCTAATTGGTAACTACAATATGGCCTCAGGGATAGAAAGGACAGTCTGGGGAATATAACCAATAATGTAAACAAAAAACCTTTCTCTACCTCTGGTATCAAAACCCTTCAACACACCTGCAGTTTCATCTCACCTGTTCCCTCCTTTCTAAACCCCAATCGAGTCCATATTTAATTTCAAGATGGTAAGTCCAAATATCAGTATATCCAGACTTTTACTTTTCTAGATTTAACTTGTCCACTACTTTCCCTATTGGACTGCGAGTTGACTACTCTGCTAGACAGACACCTTCATGCTTTCCATCACATTCTTCCTCTGCCAATAAGACAGCTAGAACTATGTTAGTTATGGTACCTGCATTGATATTATATGGCATCGCCCAGAAAGATTTTGAGTCATGAGTCATTTATACCCTCCACATTGGTGACGTGTGTGAAGCACCTGCCAGTGGCGAGCCTTTCAACACATAAGGTCTTACTACTCAAAGTTGGTCCATGGATCAGCATCACTGGCATCACCTGGGAACTTGGAAATGCAGGATCTCAGGCGTCACCACAATTCTACCGAACCAGAAAAGGTGTGCCTCTTAAAGTTTAAGAAGCACTGGGCTAAGGTACCAGGCCACCTGGCCTCACACATGGGTCAGCAATTCACAGTCATACGGTAGGAGGTAGTTCCAAGGAAAGCAGGGGCAAGATGAATGGACCCTGGATCTTGCAGCCAGGTGATCCTGTTTTGGATTCCAGCTGTACCCCTTCTGAGGTATGATGCTCTGGGCTAGCTAATTTACTCCCCTCTGTTATCCTCATTTGTAAAGTGGGGATAAAAGCACTTGACCAGCCTGTAGGACAGTTCTAAAGATGCTGTGATACAGATGTCAAGTACCTAGCACAGAACACAACACATAATAGGCAGACAACTGATATAATCTGTCTCTTTCCTGAAGTTAGTTAACTCTGGCGACCAAAATAGTATATAAGCCCTTAAAGGGGTTTTAGCTGACCTAAGCTAAGTCATACCATTTTCCCTTCAGGCAGATTCAAAATCCAAGGCATTTCCTCAGAGATTAAAAAAAATAAAGGAAAACATAACTTTACCTGTGAGGCTAACATGTTAGGGTCTATTTTGAATTAGAAAAGTCTCTTTTTCTTCCATTTAAGGCTGTCTACGGAGTCATGCTTTGTGGTGTAATAGGGATACGTTAAGTCCAGAGGACAGCAGGGTAGGCCACACCTGCCTTTCCTTCTGCAAGGAGCAGCACACACTCTGCTGTGCCCCTTTCCACAGGCAGACATGGTATGACTGTGCACAGAGGACTGGTTCACAGAGTTTGGTGAGGAGCCCAGAGAACCCACAGCTGCCTTGAAGACACTACATCTGGAAATCCCAGTTCAGTTCTAGAGCCAGGGGAGGGTTCCAAGTTGGACAAGTTTCCCCTTGTGAGACCTAATTCCACCTGTGCCCTGGGAAACTTATCCAATAATCTAGGCATGCCCTCATTCTCAAAAACCTGCTCTACCGAAAAGCCTCCTCACTCAGCATTCAGAAACCACAGGTCGAGTTGAAGCTATCGGCCTGCCTATTTCAGCATAGTTGACCCCTGAGAGAAGGTCTTAAGAAACTTTAGGCCGACCCAGGTGTAGGTAGAGGTTTACAGGGCCCTGTGGTCAGCCAGGGCCAGGGGGACTGCAGAAAAGGCTCAGCTAATGCAGTCATAGTTCAGGATTTCCTGTTCTCTAACCATCTATCAGGACTTGAATGAAGGAAGAGGCAGCGGGGAGGCTTTTTAGGTTGAATGTCCACTCTCTAGATAATACAATTTTGTGGTTCAATACTTAAGTCACTTCCTATTTTTCTTCAACCTTATTTTCATAAAAGCATTGGAACCCTTGATATGTTATTAATCCTATTACATATTTCTAGTGGATTTCATTTGTCAAGTATTCTTGATATTCATTCCTGGCTTTGAAGATGGGCTATATTCACGCTAGGAACAATACATCTCTTATATGGCTTTATGCCCTCCACTAGCAAATAGGATATCTCTAACCTATATTTATAAACTTTTTACCTGCATAACCATATTTTCTATGTATTCATTTAGTAAGAATATAAAGAATCATCTTTTGTTTTAATCTTTTATTCAATAAACTGTTTCTAATAATTAAAAAATATTTTGCATTCATTTTTGAGCATTTAGAATGTGTGGGGCATTGAGCTCAATGCTGGAACTACAAAGATAAATAAAGCAGTGTGCAAGTCTCTGCAAGTCCAATGATAGCTTTCCAGTGATTTTCAAATATGATGGGCTATAAAACATGTTTTGAAATTCCCACCCTGTACCAATAAGAAGTGCATGATATTAATGCTTCCTAGGTGATAATTTGCTCATCATGTAAGATATTAACTTGTTTCCAATCCATGGAAAAGGTAATGGGAAAATTAATTTAATTAGCCTGCAAGCTCCTTGAACTTGACTACAAACTCTTTGGCTTAGTCACTGGTGTATCACTGATGCTTCAGATTCCTGGTTAAGTGTTGCTGAATTAATGGACCTGTGAGATATTGTGCCATTTCCGGTGCAATTGTAGATAGAAGATAGCGTCCCTCTCCTACTGATGCATTCATTTCCCCAACTACAAAGTAGGGTGAAATTCATAAGGTGCTGAGTTATGAAAGGTCTTTTGTAAATGTTACAGTAATGAGTCACCCATCAAGCCTGAAGAACTAGATCCAGAGGGACCATATCTATCCAGGTGCACAGGTCTGTGGGTACAGATAGTCCGACACCATTCAGAAGCCACCTACATTGTTCACTTGAGGAGACTGGATAGGGAAGTTCATGAATCACAACCCTCTGGGACTGACAGCAATTCACAAAGCTTCAGAAGCAATCTCTGCAATAAAGGTCCTTCTTAGTGATGGTAGATGTATTTGGCTCTAGATGGCTGTTCCACTCTGGCCACCCCTCCTGGGCTTGTCTATGCCTTCTTCTCCTCTCCTTCTCTCCCACCACAGGTAAGAAAGAGCAAGTAATGCGGTCTGTTCTCCTCTGGAGCTCCTTAGCCCCTGCTTGTCCCTACTTCTCCCTGTCATTAGGTAGAAAAGATTATTTCCCTCTGTATCCACCGACCCTAAATTGCCAACTTCTCCCACCATGACTACCAGGACTATACTTGTTGAGCAAGACACCTGCCTCTTCCTCACCTTTGTGGAAGCAGGTTTTGACGTTGCTTCTGAAGGAACTCCAGGGGAGTTGTGTTACTGTGTTTGAGTGGGAGTGGGTTCGGGCAGTGAGAAAGAGAAGGAGCATGATGACTGCAAGCGGAGCTTCCGGTTTGTCTGGTTCTGTCCTGCAGTCATGATATTGAAGAAGGCAGGCGCTTCTTCAGCTTCCATGGGGATGAGTAGAAAGTGAGAGCCTGTCCCCTTCCCCAGGAGAACAGAGGGCCTCCGTGCGCATCTTCCTGCTAGAACTAGCTTAGCCCTCCATACACGCAACTACTCTGAGGTCACTTTGAATCTGACCACAGGTCATTTGCTCAAGCCCTTGAACAAATACACCTCTTACCTGATGGCATAATGTGGGCAGCAGGCCAGTCAAAAGGACGAACCAATGTGAGGCAGCTGCAGAGGCAGAAAAGCACATGCAGTGTTGGTGGCCGCATCTTGGAAGCTGAGCAGCAATTTCAGCTTACCCTTCTTCAAGGCAGATTATTAAAAGACAAAAAAAAGAAAAAAAAACATGCAATAAAGAGAGCTTAAACAGTCTGACAAATAAGCAATATTAGGTACAAGCAACATGATTTTATATATTATAAGGAAAGAAGACATTTGGAAAGAGTGGAACATGCATTTTTCTGACAGTCAGTGGGGTGGCCAAATCCTTGGAAATCTGGTCGGTAGAGCACAGAAACACATTGAGGCTGTTATATTAGGGTTAGTAACTTGTTCTCTAACTTTGTAACAGTCTAGTTTGGTTATAAACAATGACATCAACATATAAAATTATAACAATTATATATCACAATCATAATAATGTCCACAGGCATGTCTAGCACATAGTAAACTTAATAGTTTTGGCTAATATTTTCATCATAACTATAAAACGACCATATTGCTACAGCTGTGGTTGTTTTTGGTGGTGACGATGTTATATTTTTGGTTATCTCTGTAATCCTACTACACCGAGAGCTTCCCGAAGGCAGAGGTCACGTCTTCCTTATTGTCCCCAGTGCCTTACAAAGGGCCTGGCATGCCATTGATGTCGACTAAATGTTTGCAGAATCTATGAATGAATGTGTGTAGTCCAGTGAATAGAATATCGGACGATATTACAATTGGGCTCATGCTAATATGTTAGTAGCAAAAACTACCTCATGTTTGTGTATCACCTTTCCCCTTTAAAGTTTCTCCCTTCATCTTTTTGGAGTGGTGCAAATGGACCAAGCCATCAACTATCTTTCACTTGAACTTTGGCAATAACCTCTAACTGGTCTTCCTGTTCTTACCTTTTTCCCTGTAGTTTATTCCCAACACAGTAGCCAGGCTGATCGTGTCATTCCTGTCCTTAAAGTCCCCGAATGGCTTTCTAGCACACAGAGTAAAAGCCACAGATCATAAAGTCACCCAGAAGGCTCTGCACAGTTTGTATTCAACAGGCTCCCGATCCTACCCCTAGTCCCTCTCACGTACTCACTGCAACCGCACCTGCTTTCTTGCCATTCGCCAAATGTATCAGGCACTCCCTACCCCACCTTGGGATCTCTACATGTGTCCCTTCTCCCAGGAAGGTTCTTTGCCCTGAAATTCAAATGCCTGGCTCCCTCACCCTTAGGTTTTCACTTCCAGGTTACCTTCCCAGTAAGTCTCTCCTTGATCAATCCAACCCCCTTCTCCACGCTAATACATGCCCTACCCCCTACCTCCCACGTGCTTTATTATATTTTTTCCATAATAGTTATCACCAACTAATATACTCTGGACATTATTTGTTCATTGTTCATCTTCCTCTACTAGAGAGTCAGTCTTATGAGTATAGGAAATGTTTTTCCCCTGCTGTAGTCCCAGGACCTAGAATAGTACGCGGCACACAGTAGGCACCAGTAAATGCCTACTGAGTGAGTGAATTCTGAATCCTAGTAGTTTCTAGTGCATATAGCTACTAACTCAAAATGAGCCAAGCTTAATGATCCATGTGAATATTGGTCCCACTGATGCAAATGGGGTATTAACTAGTTGGCATACTCAATGTTAGTCTGCAGAAAGATATAAACATAGGCCCAGAGCACAGACAATTAGTGCTGCTGAGTATCAAATGTGCTCCCGTACATTTCCTGCCCTTTCTTGTGGCTGGACAGGACCATGGGGCTGATTTCTGATAATTTGAACGGAAGTGGTCTAAGACACTGAAGAGCCAGTATGTCTCCTCCATCTCTTCCTTTCCTTGATATAGCAAATTTAGAAGCCACATGTGGTGTCCAAGATGGAGGAATCCTGGATCCCTAGTTACTGAATAGAGAAGTGTCCCTGCCAATTCATACGGCCTTTCATGAGCAGGAAATAAACCTTTGTTGTGCGAAGCCACTGAAATCTCCAGGTTAAGCTGTTATTGCATTATTGCAGCCCAGCATGGCTTATCCTGAGTAATATCAGATCTGCAGCCATTCAGTCAATGGGTATTTATTAAGCAAATATTGCATACCCTCTGCTATGTCAACAATTGTGAAAATACTGGACACTTTGACACATCCCTGCTCTATAAGAGCTTGAAATGGGGTTTCTGAGATAAGACTCACACATGTAATATGAGAAGGTAGCAAATTGCAGAGAGATTTAAAAATCCATACATGATATGGTACAAATCCTCAGGGTAACAGGAATTCAGAGGAGATAGGGCTATAGCAAGATCAGCTCTTATAACACAGGTTATAAAAATCCAGCTAAGAAAATTGTCCCTGGAGCGCTAACCTTTTGGGGCTACTTGGAGAATGACTGTATGACTATTTAGAACAACATGCTCCAAAGTTTTTTTTCCAAAAACCACTGGAAACTGCAGAGTGTTATATACGAATTGAGGGAAACAGCTACTGAGCTTCCCAAATAAGCAATAGAAGAAGCTGAACTAAAATCAGGCTATATGCTTTGCAGCTTCCACCACTACCCCTCTGTTATACTGTCACTACTTGTTTTTCATCAGCTAACATCATCCACAGAAAGTATTTACAAGGTCAAGAGCAGCGGGCTTTAGAAAATTCCACCCCTTATGCTTACAGCTTATGACTGAATACGGGGAGTGTCATTCAGCCCACCTGGAACATCACTGGCGATGAATGTGAGAAAAAAAGAAGACAAAGTGAAACACATAAGATCAACAGCAATTTTTAGGAATATTGCATGGACCCAGAAAAGATTAGCTTGCCCACAGTTCCTTGATATTCATCACATCTTCCCTGTCAATAACCTCAGGAAGAATTAGAGACAATTGCTGGAAGGGATTCCCCAAGTCCTCCAAGCAGGACTGGGATGCTCTGCCCTCCCCATGTTTCCTACCAGGCCAGTGCCAGGGCCATCATCTTCAGTCCTCAGAGCAGAGCAAGGCAGGATCAAGGCCAGGAGAAATGGCATGCTAGAGTTCCCAACCTGACGTCGCGCAAGTTGCAAAAGCTCTTGGGGGACCTTTGAAGATACTGATTCCTGAGCCCCACCCCAGACCTCCTGACTCATAATCTTCAGAAGGCAGGTCTGGGCATCTGCATGCTAGCTACCTAGAGATTCAGACAGAGCCAACTTCAGAATATAGTGCTTGGAAACTGATGCAATGGAATAATAGGACTCTGTTGAGAGCTTTTTTATCGCCCTATCATAAGTGCTATCTGATCTCACCCTCAAAGTAATACTCCTCTAACTAATTTAATGTTAGGCTGACTTAGTCATTCATTCATTTGTTCATGCTTTCATCTGCTAAATTTTAAGAGTGCCCATGTGTCCGTCACTAAGTTTAGGATAATAAGATTTTCAAAATAGGTGTGATTTTTGTCTTCAAAGCCCCCAGCAGGGAGCGAGACTTTCAAATCATTATAATGAATGCTATCACAGACTATTTACAAGATTCAGTGGAAATAAAGGTCTAGCATGCATAAAAGAAGAGAAGCAAACTTTAGCACCTCCATTTTTCAGTTTGGGGGATGAAGATCAATGAACCAGGGAAAGGCTGTGCAACCCACCTGAGGCCATCCAGTGAGCCTTTGGCATGGGCAGGACAGGATGGCAGGCCTCCCTCCTTTGACCCCAATGTACTGAGTGATCAAAGGACCCACATGGGATCCTGCTCCTCTCGCCAGCTTCCCAGTGCCACAAAATGCACTGCCTTCCCCGTGTTGCCTCTGGTGTGCTTTGTGGGATGGAAAGATATGCCGGGACTATCCCCAGCTGATGGCAAGACAGCTGTGTCCAAAGCAGTGGACCGCCATCACCAAAGTTTCCCTGAATTCAGGAAAGGGGGTCTCCTCTGGGCCTGGCTCGTCAAGAGCACCAAAGGAGAAGGCACTTCCCACCTCAGTCAGCAGAAGCTCTTCTGTCTGGGTTCAGTCAGGCCATGGGCCACGAGCAACACAGAAGGCTGCCTCGTCTTTGCTCTGGTAGCTTTCCGCACACACCTCCATTCCGGCACTTTTCATCCTCTACTGCAATTGTCTGTTTACAGAATTGCTTCACCCAGTAGCCTGTGAGCTCCTCCAGGGCAGGGACTGGTCTCATTTGTCTTTCTAGTATTACTACTTAACAAAGGGCTCAGCATACAATAAGCACTGGTACATGATTCTTGAAGGAGGATGAAGCATCCTGTCTTCCTGTTGGTGTGGGCTACCTTCAGGTAGCTCAGCAACACACTCCCAGATGACTTCACACCAGGCTGTGACTTCTTAACATGCCTACAAGCCCCTGAAATAGGTAGCGGTCAACTGCGTGGGCTTTAGTGTGTACAGCCCAACGCCCAACTGCTTGGGTCTGAATCCCAGCCTTGCCCCTAGCAGTGTGACCTCCTGCAAACTGTGGAAACCTTCTGTGGCTTATTTCCTAACCTGTAAAACGGGGCTGAGGATGATACTATTACCCAGGGTTAAATGATAAATATACGTGAAACGGTGTTTTCACATATAGCTAAAGGCAAACATGAGCATCCTCATGTTGCATTCCTGGCACCATGCATTGCCTATAAATATGTAGTTGCTCAATAAATGCTCACTAAATAAAAACTAAGGTGTCAGTCGAGACTGAGATAGGGACAGGAAGGTTTTTGTTTGCTGATTGAAGTCACCTGTTGATCATCACCCTCTTTGTCCGTAGATGGTTCTGCTGAATAGATCGTACAGCTTTCATTAAGGGCTCTAACTTCCCTAAGTACTATAATTAGCATTTCTCCTACATTTCTTGGGGAACTTCCTGTCCATTGTCCTTCTTCCCCTCTTCAAGCTGTCCGTGCCCTGGTCATACCTGGGGCACCCCTGGTGGTTACCACCATGGCCTGACTCTCAAAGCTTATCAATGTCCCTCATTCTCAGCCCCTTACACTGGGCTTGTCAATGGGACAGCTCCCTAATCTAACCAGCAGCCAAGAGATCCTGGTGTGCTCATGAACCTTTCCTCATTAACTTCCAAATAACAACCCTTTCTTTTAGCCAAGGTCTCCTGGAGGCATCTTA